ATCAGTACCCATAAAATGCCGATTAATCATAGTTAACTCGTTAAATATCGAAGTTAGAAGAAAAACAACTTTTATTTAAAGCATTTTTCGAAGTTTTGACGAAACAAAAATTTTTCAATTTTTTTGGTATTGACTGTTTGGCCAATATTAAAATAGAAGAATTATAGAGTTCAATTGTTATAACGAGATCAATACTCAGTTTTAAAAGATGCTTTTTATTGCCTCATTCTATCTCAAATATTAATATCTCAAATATAAAATTCACTGAACCTTGTTAAGAACGTTTCAGATTCCGAAAATGTATGAATGTTCATTTAAGGAACCTATTTCGCTTGTTGGGGAATCTGTTGAATTCCAGTTTCCTTTCAGCAGCGATAAAGTAACGCCGTCTCGAATTCAGCGTCCACCAAATTTCTTCACGCGTCTTGCTTATTTGCCCGTGAAGTTTAAAGAAAAGTCCGTGCGACCCTTTGTAGCACAGACGGGAGTTTCGGAATGGGCAGACGCGCCTTTGTGCAGCGGAAAGAATGTGGTCGTGGAAGGAAACAGCGCGCATTGAAACTTTTATAACGCGAACCGAGGAAGATGGCTCGTGAATACTTTACGGTGAATACGTTTTATAGAATATTATATTCGAAGTTCCTCGACAGTTGGCTCGGTTAAACGAAATTGCGATATCCGTAATAAAAATAACATTTGGATTGATTCATGAGTTGACGGGTAACAAAATGTCCTTTCAATTTTTAATTGAGACCGTTTAAACTAAGTTCTCCGTAGCCTTTAAGTGGTTCACACAATGGATCACCGCGGAAACCGACAAAAATCAAAGATGGTTTGCTCTCCCCATGGAGAAAACGATAGATTTCCTCAGTAAACCGCTTTCGACGTCCAATTATTATCAGAGCTCGTTCCAACCGGAGGAGAACGCAGCTTTGAAGACTTTGACTGAATCTTCATTGCAACTGATTCGTCTTGATTCTCCCGTTCCGATTGTTTTTAAGCGGCTTGATTCGCCTTTTCTTCAAGTTCCATCGACGTTGCAATGAAACCGATTCCTATTCATGTCCGCCGCATTTATGTCACGTTACAAACGTTTTTCTCCTTTTAATACGCTAATAATTACAACGAATTACAGTTTCTGATTTAAAAGCGTATGAAATGAAAATTGAAATTTATAGAGGCGTTTATTGAATTTTTCGCACGCGAGCTCGGAGGCTCCCACGCGTCCCTCGAATAGAAATCCTGGATGCGTCAGTGCAAACGGCGAAGCCAATAATTGCAAATAAAGGAGCAGCCTTTCCCTTGCACTCCGAAGAAAGGAAAACAGTTCGAGGGCGGGTTGCAACTATCGCGTCGGCCCCTTTACGAGTGAAACTCACGGCAAGAGTGCCTTCCATGATCCAATTTATTTAATTGACTCCCGGAAGAAGTTTCGCAGCACTGTATCGTAACCGTGATTTAGAAATATTTCGAGTCCGTGGGAGGAGACCTTGACTCGATTGCCAGCAAATTGTTCCTCAAGACGAAATACAAGTTCGAGTTTACTCTTTGATTGCCTCAACTTTCATCAGATTTTTTCTTAAATCAATCGTCGTGTCAAAACCAATAAATCTGTTATCAGAATTATTACATAACATACACGTTTCCTAACTCAGTTTGCGCGATAGAGACTCGTATCTCTACGAATTGGACAAAATTCGTTTAATGATTTTGGAAGAGAAATACAGGAGATCTGAGCATTGAAATTATTGCACATGTGTAGTTGCTAATTCATCGTTTCTGCTGACCGAGAGATTGAGTAGAGACTCGTTAAACTTCGCCGAAAACTCGATGCAAAATAGACGTACGCACGTGGCACAGCCAGTTATTTATCAATTCGAATTACTCGCAGAGTTTCAAGCGAATTTATCGCGACCCATGCATCGGTTCCCTTTCGGATCCCATCGTTTCCTATCTGATCAGTTCCTCGGAAAATGTAGACACATACTACGAAGACGATTGCCCATATTTGCATCTTGTCAAATTCGTCGCAATGTTGCCGGCAACCGCATCGATCAATAAATTTTTTAAGCAGGCCGAGGGCAAGGAGTTAATTATCAGAGTATTGAACGATCTCGAGGACCAGTTGGAACAACGAGACGCTCACCACTTATGAAAAAATTAACATCTCTTGTTGCTGAATCGAAAAACAGAGTAAATTATCCCATTAGTCGAAAAGAGGAGGAACGACGAATCACTTAGGAATTGGGTCATCGCGCAGACCCGGCGTGAACGATGGGCCATCATTAAAACGACAGCAATTACGAAGGTCTTCTGATATTATATAATAAGACACGAGGAATGGAAACTGCATTAACGGTTCGATAATATGACAGGTTCAATTTCGTCAGGATTTACTGTAATCCAATTTATTGAGTGCCCTTTCATTCGGTACCATTATACAGATGAACTCTGTTGCATATTCATAAGGGAAGAAATCTCTGTCTCCCTTTTTTCTTTTAATCAAGAATTCCCTGTTTGATGCAAACACTGGTACACTCGATAAAAGTAATTAACACGTTACGTGCCAAGCCATTTTTGCCATGATGGCAATTGATGTTTTGACTAAAGATTGATATATTTCATTGCATCATCAATCCAGATGTAATTAGTTTATATAGAGTAGTTATCACATCATGTACCATAAATGATACACGTGGCATGGACCGTGTTAAGGACACGAGACCTGAAGAGCTTATTCTGTTACACGACTCTGTAATATTAATACAATATATTGCCAATTACGATGATAAAACATCGGACCGAAATTGAACCTCCGTAATTAATATCAATATACTACTGAGAAAACATCTAATTGCCCAGATTCGAGGTTCTTAGATTGGATCTATGGACATCAAACATTAAAGTTAAATTGCAACTGGGAGATTATCGATTATTTCCTTGGAAATAGGTATATAGAATTCTTAAGACGAATTGGTAACACAGTTTAGGAAGAACCGGTAAGCGGCTCCTAACTTCATCTTTGCAAGTCGATGATTTGCAATGTTAATGCGATTCTCGCCTCGATACGTCTTTCATAATGCAATTTGCGATCGTAGCACGCTTGATGCTAAACGAAATAATCTTATAAACAATATAAAAATATATTTTTGGAACCTTAAAACAGCAGTATTGGAGCCATCTTTTTCTCATATTGATTGCGAAACTCATCGCATCAGGGTGAGGAAATTGTGGACCTTGAGATTATATCAGAGAAGGAACCTGAAAAATTTGGTATAAAACGATGAATAGACTCGGGAAACGTTTTAAGAAAAGTCCGAGGTATGTAGCCTACCATAAAAATATTGCGGCGTTGCTTTTTATATTCTCCGGCAGTGAGTTGCGAGCTGCGGATCGTTTTAAGACTAGTCCGTGCAACTTACATTGCATGGGAAATTTCGGAATGACGTTCAATTAATTTAATCAGCAGGATTTTAGGGCGCGGTAACGTAAAGTCTGATCCACCTCGACAATTCTTATTACAGATTTAATAATGATGATCATAATATAATATAATATGTAATATAATGAATAATCATAGTAATTATAATAATAAATTGTCATTTAGAATTATTGTACATCGATATATTATTTAATATAATCTATTTTATATACTCTATATTAATATAGACTTCTATCTGATTCAATTAAATTCTTAAATCTTTATATTTTTTTTTCTTCTTTTATCACCTGCCGAGAGTAAATTCTGGCAACACGAGCGAGAAACACTTACACATTAACGAGGGGAAAGAAAATACACCACCAGAGCGTCGTCATTTTTTTTTCGTTAATAACTTTTCACCGCGTATAACACCGTGTCTCGAAGAACGTCGCTCCACCAGGCAATGTTATACTTAAAATGTACGCTAATAATGAGACCGTAAGGAAGAAAAGTAAAACGATAAAAAAAGGTACGGATGTAACAGTGGCAATAAAATCGTTCCTCTATCGACACGGCGTTGTATCTTTAAACATTTGTTTTCTTTTCTTTTTATTCCATTTTTGAAATTGACTTGTGAAACATTCTTCTATTCGAACATCGTCGAACCCTTTGGATAATCACGCAGTAATTACATCACATGCCGCGCGTGTGATTAGAAAAAACGACGGTGCTAGAAAGGACTAGAGGCTACATCAGAATTAGTAAAAACGAAGAGACTAAACATTAAGCGGTACCACGTGTGTAATCAATGACACGTTCTCTCTCGTAAAGAAATCATTATCGTTTCCCCCATGCAATTTTTTGTACTTTTTTGATTAGGGTTCATTGTTTGGCCGACCTAGTTACCATTTAATCTTTGTCCATTCGCGAATACCTCATCGTTACAAGTACTTAGCTGCATACGCGTACATCTTGGTGCTTAAATAGTAGAACCTACTTGTTTCTCATATTCGCTTTTCGTCTTCTTTTTTTTATAAAAGTTCTATTTTACTGCTACGTTCGCGGTGGTTACGTCACGCACACGTTTGATCCGCGAGCACGTTATCGCTCTCGTTACTTTTACTCTCGCCCTCTCCTCGTTTCTTCGTCTTCCTTTCTTCCCACAGAGAAAAGAACAGCTTAACTGGTATTCAATTTACATTTACATTGTTTTACGCACATCGTAAGCGACCGTGGAGAAAAAACGCACAACGCTCCGCCCTGCTTCTGGTCAGAGAAAAGTGTCGTTGTAATTCGGCCTCGCTGAGTCCCGCTTTTACACTAATATATTAACACAGCTCAAAGTTAACAAGTGATCCAAGGACGATTACAGAATTCAGTTTTCCGGCCCTTAGGTTTACTTATCTTTAAAAATCACATGATCCGTACCAGAATCTCTGAATACTTTCACGCGCATGATCAGACAAAAAGCACGATCAACGAACTTTTTATAGACCTTCCAAGTCGCATACATCACGAAGACTATCTTTTTTCTAATTACAATAAAAGAAAACAAGAATTCTTTTATCCTTAATTTCTTCGTTCTACAATTGCATCGCATGTTGCCTAATAAACAAAACGCATTATATACGCATTCGTTTTAGTTCCAGCCCAAATATAATTCTCTTTTTTTCACCAGTACCATCAATCCGAATTTGGAGTCCAACACACAAAACCGTACCGTGTGTTTAACAATGTTTAATAACTTTCTAGTCGTGAACATATCGTGAAAATTAATGTTACATATTCTTTGATAATTAGTCTCGTGAACATTTCTACAGCGTAATCGTCAATTTATTGTGAATAAAGCTAAATCTAGTCGAAGCGCTTTTAGCCATAACAAAACGAAATTTGTTAACTTACTGGTCTGACACCCGAAATCGCACTTTGGCAATGGAACTACCTATCGCGCAGCCCCGTGATTAAGTAACAAATAAAATGATACAGCAACTACTCTCGTAAAGATGAAAATCCCGTGTAATTAAACAGCATGATTTGATAAGATTTAAAATGTTTCGACAGTTCAACAACCAATGTTAATGTACAAAGATCGTGCTTACATTGGCAATGAATGAGTGCGTGCATTTAACTTCTTTTTCCGTTGCGTTCGAACGATCGTAGATCCTTGAGATCTATCGTTAAAATTTGTCTCGGGGAAATTACGGAGAAAAGTCTTCTCGGCTAAATTTGCAAACTCAATCGATCGCACCTTGTTATTCGTCTTCCGTGTCGCCGTCGCTACTGTAATCTTGTAAAATTGCTGGTCTCAAAAAAGGTGCATTGTTGGTTTGACTATAAACAAATGGTAAACGATTGGAAGACGAACTGTAAGACAAAAATTGATTTAGCGAACATCGAAACACTTACGCGAGTCTTCGATAATGATTTAACCATTCCTCCAACATTTGTGCTACCAGTAAAGGTCTTTTGTGTAACTTTTGTTGCGCAACAAGAATTCCACCTTCGGTTCTACACACATCGAGCCATTCTTTCAAGATAGCTTCCTCTCGGCCTACTTCCTCTGGACTCAGGAAATGTATCGGTAGAAGTTTATGTTCTCGATCCATCAACGGCATGAACGTAGTCTGCATTTGTGTCTGCAGCTGTTGAAGGGGACCGTTGCCGCTGCCCAAGCCTACACCGCCGTGAGACGAAAGGGGTGGAATTCTGGACGATGCGTACGGTTCGATCGGGACTAAAGCTGTGAAGTGACCACGTGTATAACCCAAAGCAATAGGCGAACGAATGCAAAACGAGGGTTCCCATAAGAGTGGAAGGTAAACACCTTCGAATCTCGCGTAACCTGTAATATTTGATTAGATGATAGTTCGATGTATTACACACGTATCCGCATGAACGCGAGATGCTTACCGATGTCTTCTCCTCGAAAACTTTTAACGTACTTGACACCGTAAACGATAATAGGTCGTCTCAATATATGAGCAAGCGCGAACACGTGTAATTGTTCCAAAGCACTTCCCGGTTGAGCGGCCGTAGCTAATAAGCTCTCCCAATCTTCTTGCCACTGCGTTTCTTCCAATGTAAAAGCTAACATCCTGGATGCTTGCGAAGCTTCGTACTCTCTCCATCGAGGGTAAAAGCTAGATCGATAAAAGTACACGCGACGTTAATAAATAATGACGTTATCAATCCTTCGACTTCGTAAACTTACAATTGACCAGCCTGTTGCAAAGAATCGGCGAGGGCTCTCCTTAAAGCGTTATCTCGATCAAACACACCCCATGTAGCTTGCATCACAGAATCCAATAAACAATCTCCGGCAGATCTGTTCCAGAGCGCGTGCAAGCGACTTCCTAAACGTTCGGTAATTTCTAAAGACCAATTTAGCGCCGGCGGTTCTCCACCGCCGCCTTCCAGTTGCTGCTGGGCCTCTTTATCTAATAACTCTTCCAACATTTGCTCTTGCACTATAGTTGGCAAGTCTTCAACCTGATAAACAAAATTTTCTGTTCTGTATTGAAATGTAATTCGCGCGATACGATGTATCTTGGACAAACCCTAATATCCCGTAAGAAATCCCGAGAAAGAAATGTATAATAACCTCAGAAGGCAAGGCAAACGTAGCTATGTCAGTGACGAAATAACATGGAAAAGAACCCTTGCGCAATCGGATACTATTAGTGACGTGTCTGCGTATTTGAGCAGCCAAATCAGGTGCAACATAACTGGGTACCCTCTTTACTCCAGACCCGGAACCTTCAATTTGTGATAACAACGTTGCTAGTATATCCTCCCTTTGAAAACTGTTGAAAACAAGACAAACTATGTATAAACCAGTCCAAGGAATTTGCCTTTTCTCGTTCGACAATCGATTTAGTTCGCTACACGCGTAATGAAAGAGTTGAAACGTTGCCAAAGAATGTATACATTCATATAATTATATAAAATAAAAGCTAAAGAAATCGTATGTCAAAAATTGCTTCCCACTGACCTAATAGCTAAATGTACTAAGGTATGTCCAACATCAAAAGCGCTACTTCTATTTAGAAGTAGAACTTCCGAATGCGTCAACTGACGAGCAGGATCACCTCCACTTGCCAAATATGCTTCGACAGGAGCATTGTCACCTTCCACAATACCGAGACACGCGTTTAACCAGCACCAATCGGTATGACGTCGTAAATGTTTTAGTCTACGTTCGTAATCACAATTATTAGGGGACTGAGGAGTCGACAAACTGTCGTTTCTGCTATCAGGATATCTGTTCGAATTCCTGCAATAAAATACGATGTGTATAATGGCAATTTTCCATGGTATACAAAGGATTTGAGAAGTAAGTTTACCTTCGTCCTACAGCCAAATTCTCGTCCCTCTGGTTTTGGTGAATGTACGGTGCATGGGCTGGAGATGGCAAGCCACGTTGACTATGATCTCTTTCTGGGCTTGGTAAAATAACACCCACATTATTGGTTGTTTTCTCTCGTCTATCTTTTTCTTTAGGATTACCGCACATCACACACTTCGTGGCTTTTGGCCAATTTTCATAAGTACATACAATACAAGACCACTTCTCAGGATGTAAATTAGTTTGTAAATTGTAATATCTTTCCGGGTGTAAGTTTATCGGTGGCGGATTAGATCCTGAGTTTGGCGGCGGATCTCCTAGCCTAAGAGGTGCTAGGTGTTCGTGCAAATTCGAGGCTACAGAGTGTATAGATTGATTGAGACCCGTAGATTTTCTGTTTCCACACTGAACACAATGTGTGGTATTTTGATAGTTAAGATAGGTACACATCGTACAGGACCATTTTCCCAATGGTACATTTTGACTATAGTTCTGAGAGCTAAGATTGTATGAATCCGTCGGACTTAAATGATTTACCGGGCCAGACGCAACGTTCGATCCGGATCTCTGAGGGCTTGGATCTCGTAGGCGATAAATATCCTCCCCTAATAAAGGCTTGGCACCTCTGCACATCGTGCATTTCAGTGACGAAGGCCAATTCTCGTATGTACAATATTCACAGGTCCATTTTGACTCCTGTTCCTCAAGCCTGCTATTCATTTTCTCTATATGGCCCTTTTTTGTATTAAATTCTATTGTCCTCGATACATAGACAATACGATGCTGATATATACTCTACTTAATCGTATTTATAAAGTATAAAACTGGTGTCCAAAGTTACATTAAATACTCGTTAAATCACTATTGCATGTAGTAAGAAAATTTTGCATAGTTCTTTTAATCGTAAAATGTGATGCGAAGATAATTCCCATAAACATTGGATGATATTATGTACTTGTCATAGAATGAAGTTCATGTCATGTGTCTAACATGTTGATCATATGTAAGAAAATAAAAGCTGCCACGGTGATGTGTGTGTAGACAGCTACCAAAATCTGTAAAGGAGAAAAGAAAACGTATGACTAATAAAAAGAATCGTGATATGTACAAACGAATACATGTACTGTTAATCAGAAATCAGGTGTTATTCGTTGATGTCGGAGTTAGAAGAGCAATGTTTATTTCCATTAAATGTCCGTATCGCGCGCGATATATACATGTACGAAAAGTGGCAAGAGTGCAGTATCACCTACGCAACATCGAATTGTTGTGACGAAATCGAATAAATGGCCCGAGCCTAAAACGCGGTAAACTATGTGTATAACCAAGGTTTAAAATATGACTGACCTCTGGCCGCTTTTTAATGCCGTGCTCGCACGTCACGTCAAGGAGAAACGTGAACACAATTTGTCCGGGAACAATGCGAAACTTAATATACACGTGGTGGATCTAGATTGGGGCTATCTGGCAAGAGTCGAGCCTGGGTATCCCGAAAGTCGCTGTCACGCGCGGATAAGCTCCATCGAAGTACTATGCATCGGTCGATCGCTTCGAAAGCAACGGCGAGGACGGTCGTGGAATCGTAGGAATCACGCACTACCGCCAGCGGCCCACTTTAATCCCATTTAACAAAAAAAAATGGTAAGACACTGATCGCGTAATGGATTGTTCGCGAGGACGAAAGCCCGCGAAAGCCTTCTCTCCTCGCGTTAAAACTCGAATAGTAATCTTATATTCCCCACCGACGAAGAGACCCGAGGCACGTCACTCGTCGAACGGGTGAAACGCGACGAGCGAAACAAGACGAGTAACACCTTTCTCCGCACTCACTCACTCCTCGAGGATGGACGCGCGGCACTTTGCGCCTCGTTTCCTTTCTACGAAACGAACGCAGTCATCGTGTTTTCCTTCGAACTGGCATGCGATCGCGAAGCAGCGGACTTTATTGAGAAAATAGGTTTTGACAATCATCCGCAAACAGATGTCAGTGCTGCCAATTGTCAGCCTCTCGACGACGTCGACGTTTCACGGAGTTACGTCACGCGCGCTTCATCAACGTGTATTCCTAACCGCGTTCGTTTCGTTCGTTCCTTTTAAATGAACTCATCCATGGAGGTGATCAGAATCCGTACAAGTACGACTCCTTCGGTAAATAATTGCAATTAATAATACCACAGACTCCGTGTCGTGGTTACACTGGTCGTGTATCATGTCCGTTTCCGGCTTTTGAGATCCGTACATACTCACTCACTTATTTTCCTATTGCCCTTGACATTCCGGTCCCAATTTCAGGACACCTTCACTGTCTTCGATCTCAAAATATGCGCGGTCTTATCGGAATTACAAGACGGGTCTCTTATAAGCAATCGCGAGTATCATAATTAGCATATACAAACTGTTCACAATGAACCATTTGTTCATGCGACGAACACGGGAAACAATTTTTTATTTATAAATATCTCGGCCGAGCGCCAAATGGGGCTTAGCCTAGACATCTATCCTTGACATTTGATTGAGTAAGATCGTTATCATATCGCCAAATACGTTTAACACGGAACAGAATTTTCCCAAAATTTTCCTATTTGTCCTCCGGATTTACGTACCCTGTTCGTGAAAGTTCTGTTCTCCAAGATATCGTCTGCTAACCGACTACCACTGACGTCACAGTACACCAGCTGAAAGCTACTGGCATAGCGGTACCTCGCAACGCGATACAACTTTTTTTTCCCGGGGATATTTGCATTCGAAATCTATTCACAGCAAAGATCTCATTATGAACATCACGATATTGTACGGGAGTGAGACAGGCACTGCACAAGACGTTGCTGAACAAATTTGGAAAAGTGCCAAAAGGTTTTGTTATTGTCCTCACGTTGTATATATATCCACAAGGAATGTTTCATAATTCCAAAATTGATGATCGTTTGCCTCTCGTTTCAGGAAAGGGTTGAATAGCACCGTTTCTGCGATGAATGACTATGACGTTAGAGGTCTCGATTCAGAGAAATTGATAGTGTTCGTAGTTGCAACTACAGGCCAAGGAGATCCACCTGACAATATGAGACAGTTTTGGAAATTTCTGTTGAGAAAGCATTTGCCAACCACGTTACTCTCCAATTTAATGTACGGGGTGTTAGGCTTGGGTGACAGTTCTTATCAGAAATTTAATTTTGCTGCAAAGAAATTAAACAAGAGATTGATACAACTAGGTGCGAAGGAATTGCTGTCTATCGGGCTAGCAGATGATCAGCACGATTTAGGAATAGATGCTACTGTTGGTCCTTGGCTAGAAAGGTTCTGGATGACAGTTTCTAATACATATAATGTTCCTACAATAGATTTGATCAGTAATCAGAATAACATCATCGAAAGATTCAATGTTTCCGAAGTAGAGAGAAGTTCCAAGAATGATAAGTATTGCTCGGCTGATATCTTCATGGCAGAAGTCTCTTTGAACGATGAAATAAAAGTGGGTACAATAATTGAAAATAATAGAACCACCGCAAAAGATCATTTTCAAGATGTTAGATTAATTAAATTTATGTCGGATAACGTTAATTATGAACCTGGAGATATAGTGTACGTTAGACCCAAAAACTCCAAGGATCAAGTCAAAAGATTTTTCACCGTACTGAATGACAATAATGTACAATTAGATCCAGATATGTTAATTAGTGTAACTGAGAAAGAAATTAAAGTACCCACTGTCCTAAAAAGAATTTTAACGTTACGTCAAATTGTCGAGCAATATTGGGATTTGAACTTTAAACCACGACGATCGACGATGCAAGTACTATCTTGCATCAGCGATAGTGAATTGGAAAAGGAAAAATTACATGAATTTACCACGGCCAGTGGACAGGAAGAGTTATATAGTTATATTAATAGACCGAGAAGAAATATTTTAGAACTATTGGCAGATTTTCCACATACGACTAGCAAATTGAACGTAAAAGTACTATTCGAGATTATGTCTCCTATAAAACCACGAGCTTTTAGCATAGCTTCAAGTTCAAGACTGACTCCGAACGAAATCCATCTCCTAGTGGCTGTAGTAAAATATAAAACAAAATTATTAGAACCGAGATATGGATTATGTTCTAACTGGCTGGCAACTCTGTTGGAGGGAGAGAAAATAATATTTTGGATACAGAAAGGAACTTTTAAATTTCAATATGACAGGCCAATGATACTTATTGGTCCCGGGACAGGGGTTGCACCGTTTCGTTCAGTTTTATTAGAGAAATCCGTGTCGAACAAGGATTTGGAAGACTGTGTTTTAATTTTTGGTTGTAGAAATAAAGAAAAAGATTATCATTGTAGGGATGACCTCGAACGCTTGTCGCGAGAGAAGCATTTACAGTTATATTGTGCATTTTCCAGAGATCAAGAAGATAAAATGTAAGTGGATATAAATTATTCAAATCTGGATTAACGCTTCTTATGTAACATATCCTGATATACGTTTCAGATATGTACAGCATATTATACGCGAACAGAAACAATTGTGTTGGGAATTTCTTACCAGAAATGGCAATATTTATCTAGCAGGAAATTCGAAAAATATGCCAAGCTGTGTTCGCGAAGAATTTGTTAACCTAATTAAAGAAATGACTGAATCAACAAACGACGAAGCAGAAAATTTTGTTAAACAACTAGAGAATAAAAATCGATATCAAGTCGAAACCTGGGGCTGATGAAATGTGCACAACAAAATAATGTTAACTGAGAAAGAAATTAAAGTACCCACTGTCCTAAAAAGAATTTTAACGTTACGTCAAATTGTCGAGCAATATTGGGATTTGAACTTTAAACCACGACGATCGACGATGCAAGTACTATCTTGCATCAGCGATAGTGAATTGGAAAAGGAAAAATTACATGAATTTACCACGGCCAGTGGACAGGAAGAGTTATATAGTTATATTAATAGACCGAGAAGAAATATTTTAGAACTATTGGCAGATTTTCCACATACGACTAGCAAATTGAACGTAAAAGTACTATTCGAGATTATGTCTCCTATAAAACCACGAGCTTTTAGCATAGCTTCAAGTTCAAGACTGACTCCGAACGAAATCCATCTCCTAGTGGCTGTAGTAAAATATAAAACAAAATTATTAGAACCGAGATATGGATTATGTTCTAACTGGCTGGCAACTCTGTTGGAGGGAGAGAAAATAATATTTTGGATACAGAAAGGAACTTTTAAATTTCAATATGACAGGCCAATGATACTTATTGGTCCCGGGACAGGGGTTGCACCGTTTCGTTCAGTTTTATTAGAGAAATCCGTGTCGAACAAGGATTTGGAAGACTGTGTTTTAATTTTTGGTTGTAGAAATAAAGAAAAAGATTATCATTGTAGGGATGACCTCGAACGCTTGTCGCGAGAGAAGCATTTACAGTTATATTGTGCATTTTCCAGAGATCAAGAAGATAAAATGTAAGTGGATATAAATTATTCAAATCTGGATTAACGCTTCTTATGTAACATATCCTGATATACGTTTCAGATATGTACAGCATATTATACGCGAACAGAAACAATTGTGTTGGGAATTTCTTACCAGAAATGGCAATATTTATCTAGCAGGAAATTCGAAAAATATGCCAAGCTGTGTTCGCGAAGAATTTGTTAACCTAATTAAAGAAATGACTGAATCAACAAACGACGAAGCAGAAAATTTTGTTAAACAACTAGAGAATAAAAATCGATATCAAGTCGAAACCTGGGGCTGATGAAATGTGCACAACAAAATAATGTACCTAATAAATATTAATTATAATCCTGCCTTGTATATTGCTATGTTTACTTGCTAAGGAGAACCAGCAGCGTGAAAAATGGCTAAATATAGAAACATTCCTTTTAATTGAATCAATCGAGTAGCCACGACTGGCCTTCCTTGCATTAGTCATACATACCACCAACGTTCGCGACCAGTAATTTTTTTCAGTACTCTGATTTGAATATGGTAGCATGCGCGCGTATCGCTATTCGCATCGCGAACTAGTTCGTGCGTGGATCTCCGCGCGGCGTGGAGCTCAATTGTCGAACTCCAGCCCTTTCTTATCTTAACCTACAAAAATAAAGCAGAAACATGGTACGCGTTGCACGTTGGGGAACAGTTCTATTCATAACTCGAGCGCCTTAACTACCGAGCCGAAGATGCAGTGATATACCGATACGTGCACGTAGAATCATTTTACTCGATACGCGATCGAAACTGGTAGCATTTGACAAATCGCCACACAAATGCCGATTACGTTAATAATTTTAAGCATCACGAATTCGTCGAGAATTATTTGAATTTATTCGTATAACTAGTCCGTCCTATTCGTGAAACCACGAGGAGCGAGCACCGGAAATTTGCCACCACACTTCGATCGACACGTGAAATGTTTTAACCCCTCCGAAGCATCACAATTTTTTAATTTCATTTGAGTTCAAAAAGGTCTGCGGGAAAATGGCAGGCAGTTACACAAAAAAGGAATTCAGCGTGGGTCCTGAGGAACAGACTCTGCTAAAAGATTCGAATGGGACACGCATTCTGCCCGCGAAAGGTATACGCTACTTCCCTTTCTCCATTCGCATTCTCTTTTCTTTCACTTTTTCTTTCGTCGCGGTTTCAATCGCTCAGCCCAACTTCGATATACTTGAAATACTAACAGTTCTCGCTGTTCTTGGAAGCGTCCGCTTGCTTTTTTATTTTCATCACCAACGCTTGACCAAACCGGTCACATGCTAGTAAAGATTCGCACAACCTTTCCATGTTAGTGCTCGAACATTGTATGTAACATCGGTTGGGGTGCTTCGTTCGGATTTATTTTCGTGAGAGGAAGAAGTCGAACCGTATCTCTATTATAAACTGCTAAGTAATATTTTTGCATGCTTATTGAAAAATATTTTTCAATTATTGCAACTATGTATTGAAATCATTCAATATCTTTCGTTTTTTTTATGTATGGAATGAAGTAATATACTTGTAATAAAACGACATACATAAAATATAATTTTTGACCTTTCAACTACACCGTAAGTGTTATCTGTTTGAAAGTATAAATATTTGATGTTCTTTTCTTGCTGTCTCTATGTACTTGTCAGATAGCTTTATCAACCGGCTGATGTTCTCACTTTTCATTAGTATTCATTCTACAGATACTAGCTTTGAATGGAGATAAAGACCAATTGACAGAAGCCAAATAAAAAGATATAACACTGTTATCTATCATTTTTACCCTGAACACTTTCTACATGCAAATAATGATAAATCGAATAATATTTATGTCATATTACGATCATCAGGGCATGGGCATCATTTTTGCTTGCATCTCATCTTAAAATATTATATTATAAATATATGTAATTATTATATATGTTATACAGGTCTATAATATTATAAGACGAAATGGAACTTAAAATGAATCTTATACAAATGTCTTGTTCCCAGATTGCAATCAAACTTGCTATAATACATTTATGATTTATTTTGCAACTGATAATGTTTTATGTTTTTCTTACATCCAATGATCATGTTTATGTCGGTACAATCAATTCTTTTCATTCTGTATGTTACATAAAGCTAAGATATAAATATGATATCACTTGCGTATGTATGGTGTACACAGATGCGTGTTCATTGTATTAATAAATTGCTCTGAATTGGAGCATTATTAAACTGTTCTTAAGATAACTCTCACAACTGCGGTAGTTTGTGTCATCATAAATCATGACGTTGAAGTAGATATGTTACCGTAGGTACCGAGCCTGTTCGTCTCTCTCCTGGTTGGGAAGGTACAGGTAGACCTGATGAGGAATTAAATTTCGAAGGTGTTACAATGGATCAAGCAGATCTTGAATTAAATCCTCCCAAAGATAGGTAAACATAGTTCCCAGCACGAATAACTGGAAATCTACATTTCATACTGATTTACGTTGAAACATATAATTTTAGATTAAATATAGTATTCTGCATAATGGTACTTCATGGAATTGGTGCCTTGATGCCATGGAATATGTTTATAACAGCGAAAAACGTATGTCTCTGACATAAATTGTTTCGTCGTTCTATTGCTAATTTAAATCCGATCGAATAATGTTCAATTTAATTTGTAGTATTTTGTAAATTATAAATTATCCGAGGAATATACAGGGATTCAGACAAACTATGCTACAAATTTTCTCGCTTACGTAGCATTTGCCGCACAAATACCGAATCTACTGTTTAACTGGTTAAATGTATTTTTACAATTCGGGTGCGTATACTTCTTGACGATGCTGCGCAAATTAAATCGGAAAGGAGACGTAAAATCTAAAGATATGTTTTTTATTATAGCGGGAATTTGACAACGCGTATAGTATGGGGCATCTCTGTTCAAGTTTTAATATTTGTATTCACCGTTATTTTCGCAATGACAGATAGCTCTAACTGGCCTGGTGTCTTCTTTTGGACCACCATGACTTCTGTTGTTATATTAAACAGTAAGAAAAAAGTCTCGCAAGTCACTATTCTACCAGTCCTCATTCGCATTCGTATTTTAATTTGTTCGATATCTTTCAGCTGCTAACGGAATTTACCAAAACTCTGTGTTTGGTATGGCTGCAAAATTACCAGCAAAGTATACAGGGGCTGTTGTGTTAGGCTCGGTAAATATCAACCTTTATAAAATGATGAGAACGTCAAGCGACACATAAAGATGTCTTCGTCTTATGCTTTCAGAACATAAGTGGAACGTTTACAGCCTTAATTAACTTACTTGCTCAATACATGGCACCAAACGCCCGGACCGCAGCGATATATTATTTTATTACAGCTCTGTTTGTTCTTCTCGCATGCTTTGATACTTATTTCGCACTCCCAATAAATGTAAGATTTTCCACGGGACAAATCAAATGCTGTTGGGTGTTCTATATAAATAATTATTTCTTTTGTAGAGATTTTATCGGTATCGCGAATTATTACACAAGAAGGAAGTAAGTAAAAGACAGTTGGAAAATAGTACGAGAGGCAAGCACGACACACCGCCTTATTGGAAAATATTTAAACAATGTTTCCCTCAGTGTGTCAACATATTTCTTGTATTCTTTGTAACTCTGTCTGTGTTTCCATCCGTTCAATCTGACATAATATCAATGGATCCGAACTTCATAATTCCACCTGATTATTATGTCACTATCATGTGTTTTCTTACTTTTAACGTTTGTGCGCTAATCGGTAGTTCCATCGCATCGTCGGTCCAGTGGGCAAGTATAATTTTTAATCCAAAATCGTTCACTAATGTTGAACGATTATTTTTAAATCTACATTCTTCTTGCAGCCTAGTAAAAGATACTTGGTGATACCAGTTGCTTTGCGCCTCTTGTATATACCATTGTTTTTATTATGTAATTACCAGCCGCGCGGTGTCACGAGAACACTACCGGTGTACATTGATAACGACTGTGCATACTTTGTGATCGCTGTTACGATGGGTATAAGTAGCGGATATTTGTCATCGGTGGCCATGATGTACTGTCCAAGGTAGATAGCAAGACAAGTGATAATCTCCCTTGAGTATTTCAAGTCTTATTAAAAAATTTGTTTGATTCTAGAATGGTAGAATCACAATACACAGCAACGGCTGGTATGTTTGGTGCAGCGACACTGATCACTGGGATATTTAGTGGAATATTATTTTCTATGGCCATGCCCAGCTTGGTATCGAACATATCGTTTACGTTATCTTAACGTGTACAGCGGCCAGTGAGAAGGTATTGAACCATATTTAAGACCATTCGTTAAGTAGAAGAATCAAAAGAAGAGCGCAAAAAAAATAAAAACGGTATTGGTTATCGTCGAGTACGATCTAATTTGCACTACTTATAATAGACTGTTCTCAGCATCTGAGGACACTGAAGCCTGAAAATAAATATTATCGATGTTTTCGATTCGTTTTTTAAAATATTACAAACTTTTTTATTACATTATTAAAAAAAAGTATGTAATAAGAATGTTAGAACACCGAGTTTAAAATTTGACAAAGAAAGATGAAAACCTGTTGTTATTCCAAGTTTCTATTAATGATAGTAATAGTTAATCACTGCCCCAATTAAAATATTAATACTAAATTGGACCAATAAGCCTTAATACCATTAAAACCATGAATTATCAGGTATTTCACGCGTATGAGTTAACTTGAAGCCGCTAAAATAAGCACATAAAAAATCTTTACACTTAACAGTTGTTATTTACATAGACCAAATCTACGATAAGACTGTGGTTTGTTAACTTTTCGTACTAACAGTGTAACTAAATTTAGGACTGAGCCATATACAATATTATTGACAAAGATGTTTAAATGGGAAAAGAAACATTTTCTTCTTTGTTAGACGCTTAGTATTATACTAACATAATGAAATCTACGATACTTATAGCAGTTAAAGTACACACAGATATGGAATGAAATAACACAGTAAACAAACGTTTTTTAGCGGGAGAAAGACTTTTATCATGTTCTTAATTGCTTTATTATACTTTATATGGTTGTGCCTTCATCTTAAATAGTAAGTAGATTATATTACCTTTTATTTGTTTTATATATTTTGATGCGCCGCATTAACTTTTTTACAGTATTTTATTACTAACAGACATGAATACTGGACTACCAATTCTTTTTCACAACAATACGTAACGTTATAAAGCGTAAAAATAGTTTGATTAACATATATAATTACCGTAAATTTCATTTTGACCCCAATATTACTTATTTAGTTTTGTTTTATGTACTCATTTCACTATTTTTACTGCATTTATACACATTTTATGTGCTGAAAAATACTTCGGTTTAGTTTACGTACTATGCATTAAAAAAAATAATTAAAGTGACAGTGTATATATAAACGAATATGTCAGCATAAACTTGAATGATATATCATAATCGGCTTCGATGCACTATTTTTTGTGCATGTATTCAAATTTTATCTTACTTTTGTAAGAATAAATATTCTACACTTAATACTATTTTATATTTGATTCAATTGTTTTTACAACAAAATTCGAATTTTTAACTATTTATTTTGAAAAATAATCGATTTTAAATAGTATGTTACATTTCGCTATATTAGTAGAAAAGAAGACAATGAAAGGTGTGCATCACACACGTAATGAATTTCAATTTAAGTATAATTAAGATCTGTAAATATTATCTAAGTGCTTCCACATGTGATTAACATGTGACGCTTAAAATCTGCATTTTAATTATAAGCTATATCGCTTACTCTCTACGTCTGATCGATTGACGCATATAATCGTAATTACCAATACTCTTTATACACTTTCAACGTATCCTCAGCTGAATTGATCAATCATAATCGTATATTCATAAATATATAAATACCTTGCTAACGATAAACCCTGAAATTACCTCAAATGTTATGTATATCCCGTGTTGACCACAAATTTTATTCTAAAACATAGAATCCGAATTCCTAGAAGGACAATCCTCCGTATGAAGCAATCCAGACAATAAATTATAAATGAAATTCAATAAACCAATGAATGAGAAAATCATTGAAATTAAAGCTGATAGAGCATAGAAGGGATATTTTTATATTGATTCACTTGTGGACATGTTTCATCGAAAATTGTTTAATGCATATCATTACGTAGATTAGGCTCTCTTCCGTAAGTTATAGTGTGATTATTCACTTAAAAAAATATATATATAACGTTAATACATCTGTTTTCATATAAGTATGGGACAGCACGAGAAACTATGTAACAGAATAGCAGTCGGATTCTACCGAGCGTTCGAGCATGCAAAGTATATGAATCACTGTAATATACTTAAAATGTTCATGGTTACAAAATTCATAATGAAACGTAGGTTTATGGAATTGTTTTAATTGTTCAATTTATTGTAGAGACGATGTTAAATAAATGAGTAAGAAACGAAGTCTAACTTAATGTTTAATGGTCAAGTACATTATATATATATCATTTATTTATATCATATTTTATTCTAGCAGGTAACTATAAATAATGTGTTTGCAAAAAAATATTTCCTTAAAAATAGATATTATTCCTTCCATTAATATCGGTACACGGTATTAAACAGTAAACGTTCTCGAATTAGAATATGAAAGATACATACATTGTGTACAACACAACGGTCTGCGGATTTTACATAACGTACACCTTCTCTATTTTTTTATACGGAAACACGTCTTTGGTTTTTGGACAAACTACAGTACCATTGTTCTCCTGAGCCATTTTCTCAAGCGCCTAAGTTGGAACGTAATAAATTAATGTTCACGCCACCAAATCACGACTGTGTCTCTCGTAAGATTTAAACGTTTACTTACTTGTTCTCCATATACATATCCGTTTGGCATCATCATTGGTTGATTATATTCGTTCAACGGTTTCCCACTAATACTGCAAACCAGCCTGGACTGCGAACAGTGCGCGAAGGGCAATGGGACAGCTAATTCGTTAAGAGCTTCGTTACACACTGGACAATTCGGATTTCTGCCTTCTTTATTTGCACTATAACACTGTGGTGTTTTTAATGCTGATAAACCTGCTTGCAGCGCTACCGTGAAAACACTCTGACTCGCCAACTGGAAGAGTCTGTAGTTTTCATGCCTGAACTGTTCGATTAATCTGTCCCATCTGTAGATAACACAAAACATGATCAGATCGTTTTCTATATGCAGCCCACACATTTTCATATTCACCTTTTCTCGTCGAGTAAATCTTTATATGGACTAAGAGATGTGTTAGCTGGAAATGCCAATTGTCCCATGCAACACTGAATCTCTTGCAACTGATAATCATCATAATTTGTGAAGCACCTTCTGGCATGCTTCACAGCATCAAGCCTTCTGTCTTGTCTTACTAGTTCTATAAATTCTTGTACACGTAAATTGAATTCCATGGTACTCCCTAATTTCCTTAACTTAGATCGATTGTCATAGCACCATCCAACGCATCTAGCAGTTTCATGATTTGCTAAAGATGCTTCAACTTCTCTTGATACCATAAAAACATCTGAAAGCATCTTACAGAATAAGACATCTATATTCCATGAAAGATGTTGAACAATACCTAGTGCCTGACGTACCTATATTTGTCAAATCTCTAAGCTCACTACTGTCTGCTAACTTAGTTGCAGTTTTATAATAGCCCTTGCGTAGAAAATATTCTATCAGCATTCTGTCAAGCCTTTGTCTTCTCCACTGGTTCACAACACTCGGTGCACTGTTGGCATGTTCTTTCAAATGTTCCAGTCTCCTCTTGCAAACCATTCCTGCTTGCAACTCTTCTGCAATAGATTCTTGTGCCTTCCTTTTTAAAGTTTGAAGTTTCTCAACGACTCCTCCTAACAAAATGCTCATCTCTCCAGCAGGAACAGCCGTTTTATTATCCTTCATCAGCTCATTAGCTGCTGCTTGTACATATGAAGCTTCTCTGTCTATAACCTTTTGAGCTAATCGAAATTTCTTATTCAAAAGTTCGTAAGGAACCTGAAAATCCGATGTTCCATTCACTTAACTTAAATAACAAAGACATTGAATTAATATATTAATGTAGCTCTGACGAAGAGCTGTCAAGAATCATTGATGTTATTTCACGAGGTTTACGAGAAAAATGATGTAAACTGAGTACAGAGGTAGAAAGTACCTTTAACGTCGGATATTCAAGACTTTTAACGTCTGACATGTTGGTTACTCAAACTGCGCGTAATGTTTTTCTTAAAAATTAGTACAAAATCGTTTATTACACGGAAGTTAATACGCTTTGCTATTGTGTGCCATAGTTATCTATATCTTTTCACACGAACGTCCAATAAAGAAACGGGATAACAGCGAGTAGGATAACTTCGACACACGAACGTCTTCAAGAATTGCGAAAACTTCCGTGCTATTTCAACAAAGATGATTATCATTTTGTTTACGCATGATGAAAATATTAGTATTATAACGTTACTGTAGATGGCTCCATTAACGATAGAAATAAGGGATGATCCTTAGTTTCTAAATCATGTGGATCACGCGACTAACCAATTAAAGGATTCAACGTTATTTCTATCGAGACGATGTTCATTTTACGATTTTATGCAAGGATAAAGGAAATTAAGAAATATTTCATGTTAAATTAATCGTAGAAAACATTTTTATTTAACACTTTATTCTCGTCAGCTTCGATTGGTCGCTATACAGATTAATATTTGACTTCGACCAACCACGAAGTCGAAGCGTGTAACCCAAGTGCAATGCGGTTGAATGGAAAATGTTAATAACGCGTACATAAACGTAGTGGAATGTTTAATAACTGTGATACATAAGTTTCACTCGTACGTTTCACTTTTACAGTACGAAAGCTGTATGGGAAGGTAAGTGTTCAGATAATCTTTTAATATAACCACTCAAACAAAAGGTATACATGTTGTACAGTGAACAGTCGCGCGAGGATTTCTGATAAAAAAAATATTTCGCTAATTCGTTAATGCTTACATGTTATTCCTATATTCTTAACATTGGGGCCATAATTAAGCGTAAAATTTTTGTCGATTCTTCCTATTACAAAAGTGTATAAATTTATCGAGAACAATGAATATTACATGTAGGAGTATCAGGACGAACAAGTTGTTTGTCTGTCAGTAAAGTAATCTATTGCTTGTAACTATAAAACTAACACAAGAGGTAAATCCTGGAATATGATGATAATAAGAATTGTCGAAGGAATAAGTTGCTTTCATAAAAATTTGTAAATTGTTGGAAAAATTTAGCCGATGTTTAACCGTTCGGCAGAGCCGAATCGAATAGGATCGGTTAACTTCGGGTGGATTCGGCCGGTGACGGAGAATATCGGTGGCGCGCGCGAGTCACTCGGATGGCCGGGGGCCGCCATTTTCCTCCAGCGAGGGAGACAGTCGCGAACGTAGTTCCGCACATTGTCGACCAATTTTTTCGTCGAATCGAGGGATTTTCGCGAATAACCGGGGCGTCGGGCGGGCGCGCGTGACCCTAGTGCCCGTATCCGAGCGAGTATCGTTCCACGGGAGGCTCGAAGTCACCCGTGGACGCCGCAAGAGCCGTGTGAATCCGGATTACAGAGCCGAGGCGCCGCGCGTATACCCCCCGATCGAGACACATCGCAAGAACGCCGTGTGAGAGAGTGAATAGTTTGGTGATCGCAGTGTAGCCGGTGAAAATACACGCGAGTACCCAAGGAGTACTGTGGTCCGAGGAATACGAGGGGAGAATCGCCTCCGACAGGTTAGTGAGTGTTTTTCCTAGGTAGATCGCGCCGCCGAAAGACTCAGTGTATACGCCGTGTGCGTTGATCGCGCGGCGGTCCCTGGTGGTGCACGGTGCATGCGTGCACACGCACGCACCGGAGAAAATTCCGCGTACGTGCGTGCCTTGCGTCTGTATTCACGTTTCTGTCCGTACTCTCGCGTACCAACACACCGTGCATACGTATTGGTTGTTCGTTTAACCGTTCCACGTCTCTTTGTGTGAGAGCGTGCATGACACTTGGCGTGCGCGAGTATGCTGAATAGTGTGATATGGCGGGAGACGCCGCGCCAGCAACCGAGCCACGCGCCTTTCTTTTTTCGGCCCTACGCTCTCGCCAGTGGTCCGATTATCCTATCTCCCAGCGTCCCTTGAAAACTACCTAAAACTTTTCTACCTGCGTTTTGCAAACGCCCAGCTACCTGGCACTTGAGTACTAGCATTTTCCTAGTGAACTGTGTAATCGTATCTTGAAGTTGACCTTCGGCAACGTCGTCAACCTTTCCGATGAAGCGTTATACAGCCGTCTTACATTTCTCTTGACGCGTTCGGTTTTATGTGAATCGGTGCGTAAAACCCATTGATACGCTCTGCAAACTTATTGCGGTATGTTAATTTCCCAGTAAGATTCCGTCGGCTAATTAAACTCCTTGCGTACATAGATGTATCTGATCTATTACGCATCAGAACTCTAATAACGGTATTTATTAAAAACCTACTATTTGCGCAAAATAAATTATCGCACCAAACGGATCTACGATATTCGTTCTCGTTTCAATGCGCCATGTATCTGGAATATGTACATATATTAAAACGCACGTGCGAACCAGATGAACTTTCCGATGTCTCGCACGAGTATGAAAATTGTTATGAATTATTGTTAGATGGCGGCACTCTGCGTTGCGCCTCAATTTTATTACTATTTATAATAAGAAATCTGCCCATTCATGAGAAATTTTCAATTGGTCTCCGCGTGTCGCATATCCGCTCTCTCGTGCACGTCGAAGCGTTTCCAACCGAACCGAAAGCTCGCGTGATCAGATTCATGTATTTTACCGAATACATGATTTACCGCTCGAAGGGCGCGTCTGAGGAGCAAAGTGGCTCTCTGATACGGTGCAGCCCGATGTAAATCATTTATTCTGTTAAGTATACGTGTCATGCGGCTGACCGCCATTTGGATAGACGCTTCTAGAATATCATTCATTTGTATCCCTCACTCCTTCCGTCCGTCGGCATCCTGTCTTTTTCCATATCTATTCATCTCACGGTACCCACTATATTAATGTACGATCGCGTTTTTCACGCGAGCCATCTACATATACACACATACGTATCTGTACAAACACGCTCGCCGTTCCGCGAAATCTTATCTCAGTTTTTCATTTCCCTGACTCGTGGCTTTAGTTGGAAATTGGTACAAGTTCAATGAATTTATTGAACCGATAGAACGCTATGTAAACCGACAGCCAGGAACAATTGCACCTCCCTTTAAATATTTCCGAGCGTGTTTGCATATTTGGATTCTTTGATTCATCAATTTAATTTACATGTGTCGCGAATTATCACGCCACGTTCGTGCTACAAATTAGCATCCTCCGAGAGTTTGGGCCAACTTTTGCAAAAACGATTATCGTTCGTGCTTCTGAGTGACACCACGAACGCCTAGAGGTTCTCAACTTTTTCCGTCCTCCTCCCCCAGGTGTCCCGTTGCTGTTGCGTGCATCTTTTATACGTCTTCGTGGAGCCCGCATCCTTTAATTCGATATACCAATTTGCTCGCTCATCGCGTCATATGATGTTGTTAACTTTCCTTTAAAAACCGGTAACCACAGTTTTAATCCATTATGATACTTTAAGGAGCTCTAATATTTTTATATTCTCATGTTATATAGAATTATTTAAAGAATTCGCAGAATCGAGCTTCTGTAGCATTCAGTTTCGGAAAATAAATATTTTGCAACGTGAACGTAACAATGCCAGCGATACTTCCACTTTAATGCACACGCTGGTTTAGTTTTTCCACGAGTTCGATGTTCTTGCCTGGACTCGGTTAACAAGCTTCCGTTCGAAGCGATAAAGCATGCTAACGACCTACTAGTCTGAAATGTAGAGGGTTCGAACAACTGCAAAATATTAGGAGCGTTAATAGTCTGTTGTTTGAATTTGAACAACCGTTAACAGCGCAATTATGAAAGGTGAATTATTACCATTAACGTTTTAAAACGAAATTATCTGATTGATTTTTTATCGTGGATCCAATGGATCTTAGACAGTTTAGCAAACGTATTTCATTGTAGGTATCATTATGGATCAAATATGTTGATAAGAGTAGAACTGGCTAATGGATCGAATGTTGGATTGCGCAACTTTCGCCGAATTTAACGTGAATATGGAACGAATGCGTCGCATCGCGTAAATACGTTTCCCTTATTTCGTTCCGGCGGTGGCGGTGTGCGCGCCGCATGCACGGTAACTTATTCATCGTTGATTGTGTCGGTATTTAAACGAGCTCCTGTTCTGGCCTTACGTAATTTGCTGAACGAGGAGAGCAACGGGTGTATATACATGCATATATACGCGGCACACGGTTGCTTATTCAGCGATGTTGTGACCTGTATTCACGTCGCCACACTTCTGTTTCTTTTTTTACTAGAAACCCACTCACGGCCGGCAGGCGTATATGCACGGCCCGTCGCGTATACAGCGTATTTACGTTTTCCTCGTTGGCGCCGCGTAAATCCATCTCCTGCGGTCGAAAGAAAACGGGATGGCGTTATCCTTCGAGAAAGTTAATTCGTTCTCCGTTTGACGAACCAGGTCGGTGCCACTGTCACTGTTCAATCAACTTTTTTTTCGTCTCGTTCTCGAGTATCTCCCTATCTCTTTTCCGATTGATTATTTCAATTACGCAGCGTTTTGCAATGCAGACATCGTTACTTGTAAACCACGCGTTAATCCGATTCGGTTTGGCCGACTGAATGCGTAATCTTACGACTTGTTAACCGGCGGTTGGACATAATCAGGTCATATATTGCGTTCAATTGGACCGAGGAATATACGTAATGCGTGTAATAGGTCGTGAGACGAGCTTTGCTTCGTACGAAAATTTTCGCGCTCGTTAGATTCACCTTTCATTGATGATTCACGACTGCATACGTAAAAACGAAACCTATTAAACTCGGCCTTAGTATCGCTTTCTTTTTATGAGATCGTTCAACGCGCGTATATCTATTATGAAGCAGATATCTGCGAGATAACATCGGTATAATTTACGCCATTATATTTTCTCCTCGCGTCGTATCATCGACGTAATACGCGGCGAGTAAAATTAGTCCGTTATACGACTTGCACAGTCCTCGATAGGAGGATACAGATGTGTAACGCGAGCGTATACATATACGAGTATTAGAGACGTTATCGCGTGCACTGATAATGTGTACATACACGATAATGCGAAATATGGTGAGCGTCGGTCGTGTTTCCGACTCATAAAATTAGAAGTGCCATCACGGTTAATCGATTTCCGTCTTCTTTTTCCTTCGTCAAACAATATTTTCATCGCGACGCGTACAGAGATTTATGTGGGAAAACAAAAGTTTCGTAAACAGGGGGATAGGTAACATGGTAGAAAAACAAGGATGCTCGAGCCAAGTTTTCTGTAGGTAGGCTTTGTTCCACGTCATCGCTCGTCTTCCGTCATTTTTTGTCGCGTAATTAAAGCGTGAAATCGCCACGAGAGATGACGAAAGCCTAGCCGTGTAAAGCCAGGGAGAATCGGTAGGAGAAGGAGGGAGAGGAAAAAAAAGTATGTCCCTGTCTCTCGTACGAGGCTCCGTTGGAACCAAACCGCGGCGGTTATTATCGATCTCTCGGCATCGTTACACTTCGTCCGGGATCCGTACAAGTGCGGTAAAAGGCACGAGAGAGTGGTTACGTCGATTGTCCACGGGAGAGACGACGCTTTTACAGGCTGTTTCTAAAATAACCGACCGAACTTTCGGAGAGGATTTTGTTTACTTTCATGATAGGGGGACAAATCCTTTGTGCGTGGCTCGTGATCATACTTAAAAAGGAGAGCTCGCGGACGATTGATAAAGGATATATATTTTGTTACTCTTTATACACACCTTGGGGTGCAGTAGATAAACGATGTAAAAATACATGACCTTATTTAAAGAAGTGAAATTGACCTTGAAATAACTGCGCATAATAATCTTGAAAAAAAATTCAAGATAACGCGATTTATCTCTGCTCAAAGTTATTTCGATTAGATTACTAATAGCCGATATGGCAGGTCCAATTATGCGAATGGTATATACCTGATAGTTTTATTCATGAAGATACTCGTAGCTAGTCGTCAACGTTTAGATTACATCGTCGATTCGCGTGACAGAATTCAAAGTAGCCTGAGAGTGTGTGTGTGTGCGAGGCATATTCTATTGTGGAAGAAAGTCATTTCTAGCCGTTTAAGGTGAACACTTATTCCCGATATCCAGCGCTCACAAACTTGCCCGGTATCCTTGAAACTGTCGCAGACAAGGGAAAACCTTTCCCTCAAGGTGAACAACGTAATGATCCACCCGAAATTGCAACGAGAAATCCCACTGTCTAGTTTGAATTCGTACGTCGAAATCTCTTGAAGCCGAAAAAAAAAGATATCAGGGGTGTGATAAAAACTTATCTCTACTCGTATGAATCGTGGAAACGATTAATATAGTATGTCCGTCGTCTATAGTAAGTCCGTCGTGTCCCGTTATAGGCGAAACGTCTAGTGCACGATCCCGAAGTTTACTCGCTCATTTAAGAATCGGCGTGTATGTACGTGTATCCGATCGTGCTCGTAGAAATTTCAATGTAACTGGCTAAGTAAGTGGCATGTGGATGAGTGCACGACAAAAGAGGGAAAAGGAAAGCGAAAGAACGGTCTGGACTTGGACGGTTGTAACAGGTGCCCCCCCTTCTAGCTTCACCACCTC